CATGACATTCATCAAGAGATATCGTTAGGATTTCATAGATGTAGCTTTTTGCAAATAAAAACTGACATGACGACATGATGGACAGAAACCTCATTGTGACACCACTGAAATTCTTGCTAAACATTGTTTATGTTTTCTATTCCATATGATGATTAATTCAGAGTAACATTTGCTTTTCTTCCTCAGTGCGATGCTTAATTATGCTTATTATTATATTGGCTGATTCGAGTGTGATGTTATTTCAGGATACATTGTTTTTGTTTACATTTATCGTGACCTGTGCTCAGCACGACACGCAGTGTGTGATTTGCAACATATCTCAGAATTTCTTATATACGTGACTTAATTCAATTTACTTGTGTCGATGTGTGTCTAATCACAGTAGTTTAGTTGTCGTGTTTAGCTGCTGATACAAATCTCCACTTGTGCCAGTCTTTGTGTTCTTACATTTTGTTGTCGGAATCGCAGCGGTTTTCTCGATTTCTTGTAGACAACTTTATTTGGATATAAAACAAGCCGTAACACATTTGGTGTTGTATTTCATTGTAACATTTGAATGGACGAGCTGTGATTTTCTCCTGAACGAAAGGCATCCGAATTTGTCTGTTAGTATTTCGGTTTTGTCTTCATATACTACAGGAAGTGGTATCCAATCCAGTTGTCGAACGTAGTTTTCACATTCGTCGTCTGCTTGTATTATATTTTCGTCAATTGTTTTATTATAATCGAAATCTACAGATTACTCAAAAATGTTTTAATTTTCACCGAGTGCCATAGATTTAGTTCACACTGAATGAATAAGTAAATCGAATGTTTCATATCAAATATCATCATCATTCTAACGAATAATTTGACTGAAATCGACCACCGAGCATCTTCAGGACATTATATGTATAAATAATATTTGGATAATCTCAGTGATAGATGTTCAACTAATTTCAGTGTTTCGTCCTTCAAAATGGTACCAGGTTCCTCGTGGTAGCGGTAAAATTCAGAATTATAAAACACAAATGAGGTATACAAACAATATTATATTGAAGAATTATCGAATGATGTCTGAATATTGATGAAGTGAATGGCACTTTGACTATTCGTAGTGAGGCTCTGCAAAGCGAACTGACAGGCGTTTTCACAATGAATAGAGAAGTGATGAACAGACTATGAGTAGAAGTCACACCGTTATCAATACACAATCAAAGAGTAACCGAGTGAAAAATGACATCTCCATCAGGCTCTACAATTATAAGTCTATAATTATAATATTTTCAAAGGCCACAATAAAAGGCAAGTGGTAATGAATTTTACTGACCAGCGAGCATGATGGTGAGGGCGATAACTTCAATCCACCCGTGTTTGTGGGGACAGAACTTTTTGTATGTATCTGTCTCCTCATGATTGAGAATAAGTCAATCAATCTGTGATATAGATTGTTTTCCTACGCTCACCACTCAAACTCATGTTTCCAATATTATTCTGGATTAGCTATTCTACTAAGACAACCTATAGCATGCTTACTCGGATTTTTACACTAGGATTGTGTGGCTGGCATCAGACAAACAAAAAAAGGAAAAAAAGTTAGACAACAAAAGATGTAGTCATTAATATTCTTAACACTTTACCCTCTATATACACACCCTTCTTATAAACCGCTTTCCTTGTACCAGTCTTGACTTCCTTCCCTTCGTGTGAGCTTACTCCAACTTGTTAAACATCACAACTCATTGTTCTTTATTAGTTCATTCTCTAATATGGAGCCTCTGGTTTCATTTCGCTAACAAGACATAATATGAATTTATTCTAATTTATTATACCTCTGTCCGTTCTACTACACTATGTTAAGCAACGTTTGTCGTTCATATCCAAGTGCCTTGCTGCTCTTCTGTTTCTCTTTTTTTCTCTTCAGAATCTTGCTCTGAGAGCACAGCTATGAAACTTTTGACGTTTGGAACAAACTTGGTGTACAGCAAGCGCTCTACGATTTCACTTTATAACAACTATAAACTTAATAAGTTGGGAAACATTTTGTGAACCAACAAATGTTGTTATTTATAGATCATGCATGTAAAAACGGTGTGTACCTGCACATGCAGAAATATATTATTATTATTATTATTACTATGTTATGTGTTAAAAATGGTACATGTTCACGAACAAGCGAAGAGAAAGCCTTCTGAGTACGGCCTATATAACTAGCTTTACAGTAGCAGTTGAATTGATATACACACATGGAAGAGCCCATCCTCGGTAAACTATCCTTGACTAGTTGTGTGAGTACTGGTTTCATTGAAAAAATTATTTGTAGCTTGGTGGCGTTAAATGTTTTTTTGACAGATCTTTTGAGTCAACGTGTTAAAATATCACCCGCTATGTCCCCTTTAAAGTCTAGTCTTAGATATAAGGTCTTTCTATTGACTATGTCACAATTCCTTCTTTTCTTAGAACTTTGTGCGAGATATATTTTTAAAAATCATTCTGACCTTTATTGAATGACCCATGTAATTAGCAAATAATACAATTTTGGAGCATATATATATCGTAACAGATGCAAACGTTTACCATTTTTAACACATAACATTATCAAATTCATTAAGAATTGTCTTACATTTTGACATTATACTGTAGAGCCCGATGATGAAGTTATTGAAAACAATTTTTCGCTCAAATATTCTTCATTTTTGAATATTCCATGGGAATTTTTAAACTGCTGAAAAATAACAGTTAGTAAAATCACCGAATTTTATGGTTTCGATATATCTATAACAATTTCCTATCGATTTGCATCAAAAGGTTTAGTCTCTCTATTGAAATATGTGAAATAACATCCATCATCACTTTCAATCGATTTTTTCCCTTTACAAGTTCGCGCAAATACAGAAAAGTAATTCAAGTGAGGTTTGTATTCAGAAGATTTATGACGCCTCAAGGTAAATGTTGAGTTTCTTCGAATGTCACGAAGCATTTCTCCTTTCTGACAACCAGAAAAACAATCGACCTAGGAACATGGAGTTCTAACAAAATGTAGGAGAACGGAAGAGTCTCCCGAGTTGCAGCAGAAATTATCAAGCAACAGATTTCTGAAACAGGAAGATTTCTTATTCTCAAATGGAACGAGTTGATGCTGATGTCTGTGATGCAGCTTTCATATCAAAGTTCTCGGTTACATGATTCTTCTCAATGATGAGAAACGTCATCTACTGTTTCAGCTCTGCAATAATTATAGATTAAATATTTGCAAAGATAGCGATTCCACTGTAGTGTAATGAGATTATCGTAAAATATGAATTCACATGACAGTGTGAAACAATGAGAGGTGCACACAACACTTCAACATCAACATATTGTAACGTGAAGTGAGGAACTGTTAATATTTGAGAAAATCTCTTATTACATTGTTTGTGTCCTCAAACACACTTAAGGTGAGCTGGTGAGGACATGAGAACCAGATGACCCAGTTGTACATATCTATATATAAACTCTGCATCAGTGTGTTCTCTGATTTGTCAATTACTCTGTGGTGGCATAATGAAGGTGAGCTGATTCATTAATTGCTTCACAAATGCAGATCACAATTCTGAAGTTGATTATCTTCATGTTGGTGATATTGTCATTCGTCAGTTTGAGTCCACACAGTTTCCTAATGTCAGGTAAATAGTGTGCTAGTTCTGTGGTTGTTTATGCGCTGAGCTCGTTGCAACGAATGCAGCAGATTCTAGTGAGCGGGATCGCAATTCGGTTCCATTGACTCACATGTTAATTTGATTAAACATTATTTTCAAGCATCTTTTTGTGAATGTTTCGTGCCTATAGGTAACCCTCGTGTTATTGATAGAAGAATCCAGACAAAAATTGGATGAAGTCTTTATTTCGATCTTAGCGCAGTCACAGTGGAGCGTGGGATTATCTGTTCAGACAAACAAAGGCTTTCAGCATTCAATATAAGATAATAAGGAATATAACGCTTATACAAAATAAGGAAGTGAATGAATACTTGAACAATACTGTTTTGGCATATGCTTGGTTGTTTGGGGTCAACTCTTAACCAACCAACCTATGCTGTTACATTAGCTTCCCCCTAGAATCGACTTCCGTAGGAACGTCGGTTCGATTAACCTACCTATCAAAAACACCTTAGTTTTATTTCTCATTCCAAGGGAAAGTTATCAACTCACTCAATGTTTGACTTACAATAAGTGGCAACTAACGCTGTCAACGGTAGTCCATGGATGTCTCTTCATTTACTAGCTTGTCATCTTATTTAGTAGCGTGTGATTTCTTCTACAACTATAGCTGACGGTTTACTGAGTGCTTTCATGAGAGTGTTAAACTGTGGAATAAGAATATCTGAGGAAGTGCCGCGAGCGGGCTACCCAACACCATGTTGGTGAGGTACGATTTTTCCATGCTCAGACCGGCTATCAGGTGTTTACTCACCTGCCTCTTGAGTCGCCCTCAAGTAAAAAGTAAAGAAGAATCTACTTCAAAGGTAATGGTGAAAACCAATCAAACCTAAAGAACCGCTCCACTGCCTGCATCAAAATAATAAGATATAAAATGGAAATACATAAACATAATTGATAATTGTTCGGTTCCACGTAAGTGATTGGCCTCCAGAACGGATTGGTATTCTGGAAGAAAATAGACATAGTGTAGCCATCTTGTGTACGAAAAGGTATGAAAACAAATAAAATCCTTTTTTATAATGTATAAATGTAAAAGTGTAAACTTGCTAGAAGTTGGACTCATTGTCAAACCCGTTCAAATGTGTGACCTTGGGAATGTGACAACCGCCTTTTCTAACCAGGTACGTTGTAACGGGATTAAAATCATCATGTATGATGTTGCTAATAGATTTTGTTTTCTTTCTATTGCAGAGCAAGCAAGAATAAACGCCTTAGAAGAAGAAGAGCAAGCCCTACACGCACTAAACTTACAGGACGACTCATAAGACCGTTTTGTAAACTAGCTCTCTTTCTGTACAGAACCCGCGAAATTTAATTTTGAAATAAACGACTGTTGGTCTTCGTTCCGCGTTCTCTCTGTGGTGTGAAGTGTTCAGTTAACATTGTGTGTGTTGTGGCTTTAGGTCTTCCCGCCTTCCGGTGGCTGCTGATTACACGTGTTACAACTGGTGATGGAGGTGCAGACGGAAAAACGCGATGAGAACCTAGACGAACCCCCTCTGATCCCAATCAGGGCTGCTCCCGGTTCAACCCCACGCCAGCCGCCACTGCTCGAAACATCATCAGATTACTCCGTTTGGAAATTTAAAGTCACAGCCTACCTTCAGAGAGTCCCATTGACCGAGCATTTCAACTACCTCGTTTCCTATCTGAGCGATGAAGCAGTACGCAGGGCTATTGCGAATGGTTTTGCGGCCAGTAACACCCTCTCACAAAACTGGAGAATTCTAGATGACTGTTTTTCCATGCCTGTAGACACTCAGCAGATGACAATTCAGTTCTTATCACGCCATCAGAAAGCGAGCGAGAGCCCAATAGACTATCTCCATTCCCTGCAGCAAGTCGCAGTGCAGGCATTCCCTCGGTTAGATATGATAGGACGAGAGGAACTAATACGCTCACGTTTTGTCGAGGGTCTGTTACCTGGACCACTCAAAGAACATTTTCTTCGAAATCCGCCAGCTGATACATCTGAAGTAAAAAGAACAACATTACGTTTCCTGGCCGCTGACAAATTAGTGAATTCAGCCAGTGCACATTCATCATCAGTAACGACGGTTGAACGAGCTACAAAACCTAGTGGCCCGGACACCTGCCAGACTACAGTGGCTGTGACCGACCTTCCCGGCCGAGGTGTTATCCACAGACAATCTAATTCGAGGTGGAATAAACAACCAGCATGGGGAAACTACAATGGGCGTCAGGCTGGCTGTATATATTGCAAACGGTTTGGCAGGAACGCCAGAAGATGTGGTCACAATCGCCCCCGTAAACCAGGTAAGCGGCGTTTTGGCTACTTATCTTCCTATGTTAATCATGTCCATCCAACTACATTTAAAGGTAGAGTACAAGACATCGAGCTGGATATACTTCTAGACACAGGGGCTTCAGTATCCCTCATTAAGGAAGATTTCTTGCAGAGACTTAACAACAGCACTCAGCGTAAACAGTGCTCCTCCACATTAATCACGGCGAGCGGAGACCCCTTGATTGCGTGTTCTAAGATCGGGTTAGAGATCACAATAAACAAGAGCTCTTTTCGACATGAATTCCTGGTCTGCCCCACACTGACCTGGAACATGATTCTCGGGGTTGACTTCATGTTAAGGTATCAGGCCTCTATAGACATGAATAAGTCGGAAGCTAAAATTGGCGGGGTTGTCGTGCAACTACAACGCCAGGAAATGCCAACCGAAACCGTAGCCCAGGTAGAAATTGCAGAGATTGTACGTCAGGTACAAGATAACCAAGTAATAAGTGAAAAGGACCGTCGAGCCACCATTGACGTACTCCAACGATTTAGCTCTGTTTTCTCGGAGAATATCTCTGGAAATCGAACAACCATTGTGCAACATTCCATTGTTACAGGTGACCACATGCCATTACGCCAACCACCTCGTAGAGTCCCGGTGCATTATCAGCCTCATTTAGAATCAATGATAAAAGATATGCTAGAAAAAAAGATTATTGTACCATCTTCGTCACCCTGGGCATCGCCAATTGTCTTAGTAAAAAAGAAGGATTCCTCCCTACGACTGTGTGTAGATTACCGACGCCTTAATGCTATAACTAAGCGTGACTCTTTTCCACTTCCACGGATAGACGCTACCTTAGATGCCATGAAAGGTGCTCGCTGGTTCTCAACGCTAGACTTAGCATCAGGGTATTGGCAAGTGGAAGTTCGACCCCAAGATAGAAAAAAAACTGCGTTTGTAGTGCCTAATGGCTTATATGAATTTCAAGTAATGCCTTTCGGGCTAACTAACGCCCCAGCCACCTTCCAACGATTGATGCAGACAGTTCTGCAAGGTCTCGTACCGCACCAGTGCTTAATCTACCTTGATGATATTATTGTATATGGCAGCACGCCAGAACAACATAATGCCAATTTGAAGGCAGTCCTACAACGTATTAGGCAGCATAACCTAAAAGTGAAACCATCTAAATGTCGACTGTTGCAAAAAGAAGTGCTCTTTTTAGGGCACCGCATTACGGAAGATGGAGTGGCAACAGATAAAGAAAAGACACGTGTAATTGTTAATTGGCCGCAACCAAAATCACCCGAAGACGTTCGTAGCTTCCTTGGATTAGCTTCTTACTATAGACGCTTCGTACGTGATTTCGCATCATTAGCAGCACCTTTACACCGATTAACCCACAAAGGACGAAAATTTTTATGGACCAGCGAGTGTCAACAGGCGTTCGATGCTTTGAAAGCTCGGTTAACTTCTCCACCTATATTAGCCTTTCCAGATACTTCAGCAGACGGAGGCGAATTTATACTGGATACGGATGCTAGTTCCTCTGCTATTGGAGCAGTTTTATCACAAGTAGATCGAGATGGACACGAAAGGGTCATTGCGTATGCTAGTCGACGACTAGATAAGAGTGAAGCACGATATTCTACAACACGTCGGGAGATGTTAGCACTAGTAAAATTCTTACAACATTTCCGCCATTATCTTCTGGGTAAACCCTTTCGTGTGCGCACGGATCACCGTGCACTACAGTGGCTCCGCTCTTTCCGCGAACCAGAAGGGCAAGTGGCACGCTGGCAGGAACGACTACAAGAGTTCGATTTCACATGCGAGTATCGACCGGGAAATCGACATGCAAACGCGGATGCTCTCTCCCGAATACCCCAGACCACGGATATTATTAACGCAATTCTTAGTACAGCCCCGGAGACAGACTGGCCCTCCCTACAAGCAACAGATCCAGACTTACAGATTGTTTATCAAAGACAGCTACATGGAAATAGTAAGCCATCCATGAGGGAGCTTAAAGATCAATCCGTAACAACTCGTCGTATTTGCAGCAAATGGGGCAACCTCAAACTATATGGTGACACATTATTCCTAATGAATGAATCAAAACAACCCCTACTGATAGTACCGCGAGTGAAAGTTGAGAGCATTGTGGAACAGGTACACCGCGAACTTGGTCATGCGGGAGAACGTAGAACTGAACACGCTGTCCGTCAACGCTTTTGGTGGCCATCCATACACGAAGATGTGGCTCAGTTTTGCAAGAATTGTAACACGTGCTGCCGTTTTAAATCGCCCCAGCAGACACCCCGTGCACCAATGACGCCGATGGTAACGACAGGACCACACCAGCGAGTTGGCATAGACATCATGGGACCATTGACTATGACAAAAAACGGGAACCGCTACATACTGGTTATGGTGGATTACTTCACTAAATGGTGCGAAGCTGTACCCCTTCCACAGCAGGACGCCCTTACTGTCGCCCGAGCTTTCATCGATCATTGGGTCGCCCGTTATGGTGCCCCGGTTTCACTCCACTCAGACCAAGGTCCATCCTTTGAAAACCACCTCATTACTGAGATATGCCGGCTATTGGGAATCAAGAAGACACACACCACTGCATATCACCCAGAAGGTAACGGTCTCGTGGAAAGAACAAACAGAACCATTAAAGCCATCTTGCAGTCGTTTGTCAGCAGATCGTCACCTGAGTTATGGGATGAGGTGCTTCCCCAATGCCTTTTAGCATACCGTACGTCAGTACATGGGTCCACGGGGTTCTCGCCTGCTATTTTGCTGTTTGGGCACGAATTACGATTACCAGTAGAGATACAGTCACCCCTACTGCCCTACGAAGAACAAGAGCATGTTCCGTACATACGTACTCTTCGCAATCGACTAGCTGATGCATACCGTCTGGTCAACATTAACTTATACAAGGCTAGTGGACACCAAAAAGATATATATGATCGTCAAGCACAAGGACCTAGGTATACAGTTGGAGATCGCGTATGGTTACGCCGCCCAATGACATCACTAGGGGGTTGCAGTAAATTCCATCAGCCCTGGCAAGGCCCCTTTGAAATTGTCCTCATCCGATCCCCCACCACGTTTGTATTGCGTAATATACAACGACCTAAAGACGACGTGATAACGGTGCACTACAACCAGATAAAACCCGATCGGACGACATTTCCCTTCGACGCTCAACTCGCTGATCCACCGCCGGCCACTAGATTTTACGAAGTACCATCTGAAGGAGGGACAGCATACCCGTGCCCAAGACCAGGCACTGAGGACAGTGCCTCATTAGGAGAGGGGACGATGTAACGGGATTAAAATCATCATGTATGATGTTGCTAATAGATTTTGTTTTCTTTCTATTGCAGAGCAAGCAAGAATAAACGCCTTAGAAGAAGAAGAGCAAGCCCTACACGCACTAAACTTACAGGACGACTCATAAGACCGTTTTGTAAACTAGCTCTCTTTCTGTACAGAACCCGCGAAATTTAATTTTGAAATAAACGACTGTTGGTCTTCGTTCCGCGTTCTCTCTGTGGTGTGAAGTGTTCAGTTAACATTGTGTGTGTTGTGGCTTTAGGTCTTCCCGCCTTCCGGTGGCTGCTGATTACACGTGTTACAACGTAACCAAGGGTGCATAATTTTACTCCATAAAACGGAAGAGAATATACGGTTAAAGAGGGGAGGAAATTGTGTAGAGTATGAAGATCAAGTACAGTTGTGTCAAATACTCTTTTCTGGTTTGATTTAAATATGTATGATATACTGAGGCAATATTTCGTCAATTAATCAAAGTAACGAATTTGTCTGCACCTTAAAAGTGTGTAAGTCCTATTACTCATTAGTATTATGAATGAATAATTGGTAAAAGGAAAGATTGCAGTCACCCCTCGTGGTCTGATGTGGCCTAATGGCTAGGCACGCGGTCTAGCATTCAGAAGGGCAGAGGTTCGAGTGCGTGTGGGTCGTGCGTTTTTGTTCATCGAAACCCCTTTCAATACGATGTTTGTTGGCCAAAAGTTGCTCAGATATGAGAGAAAGATAACAGGAGGATTGATTGATATGTCAAAATGCCATATTGGAATAGTACAAGTTCTTTGTTTGGATTACTAATAATACTATAGAAAGAAAAATCTACAAGTTTTGTAATTTCCATTTTACGTTATACTTAAACCGAGAGAAAAAGTATATATATATATAAAAGATACTGACATAACATGTCTTTTTATAACGCTAGTGTTAAGTTCCAGGGTTTTGTCAGGACCACTAATAATAATTGGTTTAACGTTAACATAGCTGTCATAGTCATGTCGTTAGTTCAATGTTATGATTACTTAATAGTTCCTTTATAAGTTGTGTTTAAAATTAGGTATGCGGAATCAATGCGGCTAACATAGTAACCTTACAGTAACGCACTGTACTATATCTCCACGGTTATTGATTCTTAAATGTCAGAATTTAAAAAAAATCTGAATATTGCCAATAAAGATGGGTTATATGATCACACTAAAAAGCATGCTGCAGGAAAACTGGTTAAGTCATTACATAAGTTTCCTAAACATGAAAAAAAATGATGAGAACTTTAATAAGTACTTGGCCATGGTTTAATCCAAACTGTTTTGTCTAGAAAACCACTTATTAATAGTAGTATTAATCGTATCAAGCTACTAAACATATCTTCGACCGGAAACTCTATATATATATATACCTATACATTTGAAAATTTGTCCTCCTAAAGATATTCCACAAGTAGACTTGAATGAACGTAAGTTCATCTCACAAAGACAACGAAAGGCTCCAGCTCTGAAAATAAAGGGTGGGAAGACAAAACTCATGATACCGTGTAGGGAAACACGTAAGATTGAACCCAACTGCTCTATAGGTATCCCAAGAACAGTGAACAGGTTCTCCCCACTGCTATCGTATAACTTGCCTTCAGCACCTCCAAGTTGCAAAATGGGTGGTGGGCTTCAACGTAGCAAGCCTTCTTACACACAGACTAGTGAAAACTACCGGAGAACTGCCCACCCAAATCACCCCCTGAAGCCTAAAACCATAAATACGAATGGTAATAATAGGTTTCTCACTCCACACCCTACCTACATTCCCCAGGACCGCAACTGTAATTACTCTCAGAAAGAAAACTTCTCATACCCTTTACTACCGACCCCTCACATAACAACGGCTCCCACGTATATCAACAGTCGCAACTCCTCCCAGTTACGCGTAGCAGACCCCTCTCACGCTAACGTAAATAGCCATAACAGAGGCTACGAGTCTAACCATCAAGACTATTTTGTAAATAACCATACACTTCACAGTAGGCCTGTACAAGATTTTTTTGGAATAAGACCCCTAGTGACACCTCTGTTGAAGCATATAGCCCAGGTTATTTCAAACCACATGCAAACCATAAATTTGTTTCCTCCGTACAGTTTCCATCACAGAGTACTCCCACCCTTTCCTCCTGGGTAAACTCCCCAATCAACTTCACTAGCTCATTTGATACATCTCCCACTAAATCTAGCTATCAAAATACCGAGCTAATGAAGAACATTCAATCCATCATTTCAAACTCGTCTCACACCCGCGAGGGTTACGACGACTTTATCCGAGATACTCTCAACCATTTTAACTTAGTAGGCCACTTGCTTAATATATGTCTTATCAACGCTCGGTCGATCTGCAACAAAAAGACGGATTTAGCCCTGTTTGTATCCATATATCAACCATCAGTTATTATGATATCTGAAGCATGGACTAACAGTAATATTTCCGACCAAAGTATATCTTTTGATAACTATTTCCTGTATAGAAGTGACAGATTGAATGGACGAGGCGGAGGATGCCTTATTTACGCTCACTCTAGCCTAAACTCACTACTATGTGATATGCCTGAACTGAACAAACTGAAGGATTCGATGTGGATTGTATTAAAGCTGTCGAATTCCGTTACCTTACTGCTCGGTTGTGTTTATCGTCAATCTAACGCATCAATAGATGATATAGCAGTATTATCGGAGGTATTCACACTAGCATCATCCCTCTCAATCACAGGCAAGCTCATTTGTGGTGACTTCAATATGCCCGAAATTTCTTGGCTGCCAGTCAAAGCGCCGAGACGTTATGAATCATTTATTGAATGTCTAGAGCTCGGACAATGGACTCAGTATGTCGATAGCCCTACCAAACATCAAAACATCTTGGACTTAGTCTTTACCAGTGGCCTCATCCCCAATACTTTGTATATTGGAAAAAAAATCCCAGGTAGTGATCATAACATTGTCATATGCAGCCTTAATGTAAAAACCACAACCAATAGAAGCAAAACCGTAACACTGCGTAGAAACTATCGCAAGGTTGATTGGAATAACTTCCACAATTACCTAAGAAGCACTGATTGGGGAACTTTCTTTACCTCAAACAATACCGACACATTAACCAATATATTTTATCACAACATCAAAAGTATCATCAACAACATCGCACCTTTAGAATACAGTAAACCTGCGTTCTCCAAAGATCTCTATATACCGGTCAGTACAAGAAGACGTCTTCAAAGACATTGTACTCAATTCCACAAATTAAATGACTTTTCCTCTTTAGTAACGATGACAGAAATACTTGTCCGAACAGAGGCAATAAGTAAACAAAAAGCAGTAGCACAGGAAAAACGTGCAGTTGAACTTAATGATAACTCCTCTGCACTCACCATACTACTCCAAAATAAACTTAAACGCTCTAAATCGAGAGGGAGTATATTCATTAAAGGCAAACAAGTATACGAAGATCCTAAACTTGTCACAGAATTATTTAGTGAACATTTTTGTTTCTCACTAACTAACGAAAAACCATTTAATGATTCAGAACCAATTCCAGTACCTCCCTGTGAAATTACTAATGTAGAATTCAGTGTACAAAATATTTCCAAGGCAATCAGTACATTGAAACACTCATACACTGATGGACCAGATGGTATTCCATCTAGCATGCTAAAACGTGGAGGTGATGATATGTGTGTTTTGCTTCTCAAACTATTCGCGATATCACTCTCTTCAGCGTGTTACCCCACTGCCTGGAAAACTACACATATCATTCCCAAAATTAAAACAGGACCTGAAGCAAACGTTGAAAATTACCGGCCTATAAACATAACTTCAGTGGTATCCAGAGTGATGGAAAAAGTAGTTAAGGCGGCTGTAGTCCAACATCTAATAACTAATAATCTCATCTCGACCTCCCAGCATGGATTTCTCAGGTCCAGATCATGCGATACATGCCTAGTAGACTACCTGAATGATATAACTATGAAACGAGACAGCGGACTCCTTGTATCAGTTCTATTCCTAGACTTTAAGAAAGCCTTTGATAAGGTCCCACACAAAAGGCTACTCGTTAAACTAAAGTCCTTCGGAATACACAACCCACTGTACTCATGGTTTGCTTCGTTCTTAACAGAACGTAAACAGATGGTAAAGTACAATGACTGTCTCTCGTCCCCTAGGCCAATCACCAGTGGAGTCATCCAGGGAAGCGTATTAGGTCCACTTTTGTTTCTTATGTATATAAACGATATATGTAACACCATAGAATTTGGAAGACCATACTTATATGCTGATGATCTCAAAATAGTATACAGCTATAAACCTGAGACACTAAGCGAAAGTGTATCCCAGATCCAAAAGGACCTCAATAACTTAACTATATGGAGTGAAAAATGGCAATTACCATTAAACCTCAACAAGTGCGGGATCATGCACTTTGGAAAGCATCCCTATAAACCGCAACTTCACTTAAATGAAAGTAGAGTCCAAACACTCGAATCAGTACGCGATTTAGGAATTAATTACACAGGAAGCCTGAACTTTGAAGAACATGCCTCCTCTATTATTTCTAAATCTAGACGGCTAATTGGCTTTATAATGAGAAACTTTTTCACAACAGAGGGTAAACTTACTCTCTACAAAATATGTGTAAGACCCTCCCTTGAATACTGCTCTTTTGTATTCTCTAATATGAATATCACAGACAGGATAAGACTAGAAGATGTTCAAAGACGTTTCACACGTCAACTACTAGGATGCAACTCGAATCTTGATTACACAGACAGATGTAAGCATCTATCTTTAGAACCCTTATGGCACCGTAGGCTAAAAAACAATTTAATATTTCTCTACAAAGCGATATATGGGCTCTCCTTTCTAACCTCCTGCCCGACTATTACCCACGACCCAGCCTATAGACTTAGAAACAACGCATATACACTACTTACCGTAAAACACCAAAAACAAATGCGTTGTAAGTTCTTTACAGTACGGTACAGTTTATTGTGGAACAGGCTGCCAATGCCTATCCGTAATTGTGATACGTTTATCAGATTCAAAAGGCTAATAACCCTATTTCTAGACTCCAAAGAGCTTCAACATTTCCTTGAACTCCCGCCCACCAATGAGGCACTTTATTACGGACCGCCTAGTATCTAGAAAGAACAAAATTATAACAAGTCCGACTGTTACTAATATGAATATAACCAAATCACAGAACATATGGCTTATCCTTTCCTATTATTCATTGTTTATTAATTATGACTTCATGCTCCTAACCCTAGCTTTCAGTTCCCAAATCTCTACAGGTTAAATGTACATTATTCTTCCTAAAAGTCATGCTTTTTTTTTATTCCACTGCAAGTAGACAGATAGCTCAATCTTATGAATGCTGATCTACTAAGGCCGACCATTCAAAGTTCAAAATTTGGCCACAACGTCTTGTGAGTTTCTCAATGTTTTATTTGTCTTACCCTGAAATTTTTTTTTCTACGATTTTATACCCTCTCATATCTTTTGATTTGCTATTAGTCCTTACTTCTTTAAACCATTAGTTATTTTCATAGCAGTGTGATATACTATGTGGACATCTAACCCATAAAACAAGTTTTTTTAACTATCTGATTTGCTTGTAACATGGACCTAGTAGAGACAGTGTATTCCAACTATGGGCTTTGATTAAAGCAGTATTCATACTTACCACAAACGTAAGAGAGCCTAACATCACAAAAGGAGGGAGGGTGGCGTTACTGACCAGCAAACATGAAGGTGGGGAGATAACTTCAATCCACCCATGTCTGTAGGGCAGAACATTTTGTTTAATTACGGCTCCTTATGGTTTAGTGGGATGTCACGAACTTATGGTATAGAAGCTGATTTATCACGCAAAATACCTCTTTAAGTCGTGTTACGAACGTTGAATTGGTTTCACTTCCTACCTAGAAATCCTATTACAAGCAAACTAGACAATTCGCTAATATACGAAGCCTAATCAAGACCCTATAATAACTGGGGAAAAATATTTTTAAAAAAAAAAACGAAAGAGGCTCTAATAGCTTCGATATTAAAGGGAAGACAGCCAAATGTATATCACGATACTGTTTCTAGCACTATATTTTATTTTATAATCACACATAATCTTATACTCTCAGCTCTTTTCCGAATCGCCCCCATTTGTCAGTTGTATGTCCACTCACACCTTGTCAACACTTATTTTCTATAACCTATTGAAATGCTCTTTCTTAACATATACCTTAATAAAGGAAAATTAGACTGAGTAATCATACCTTAAGCATTCTTTCATGAATATTGGCTACTCTGCCTCTCGTGTTTTCTTTTACTTGCTCCCTCTTTCAGCCCCCTTGAGATATGGAACTGGTGACTTCATCCTGCACCATCCTTAAAGCCTTGGATATCCCAGAAGGAAATAAGGTTGCGATTAGAAGCCCATACCTTCAATGGACCTATTCTTGACCATCAGTCGCACATTCGCAACGCGACTTTCATGAAGCGCGCCAACTGTAGTACTGATTTAAACCATCGACATTCATATCTTATAAATTATCAACCCAGCTATGTAATTTATTGCAGTTTATATTGTATCATTTGTATCAATTTGATCTTGCCTGTAAACTGGCATGCCTCATGTAACAAACTGTTATTTGAGAATAAATTATTATTATTATTATTATTATTATTAGTTCATATTGTATATATGTATTGCCAGTCTACGTGAAAAATGTATAAAGATATATAAGGAGTACAGCCAACATAGTTAATTAACCAGAAAAAAGAAATTATAAAACTCGCCTGGGTTGCTTTTTGAATTCGTTGTATTTGCCAGTGTTAGTTGTATGAGTTTGATTAAAATCCTCAGCCATCGTTTCGGAATACCTAGCTTATGTGTCCAGTATTAAAAAAAAATTTAACATAACATTTATGTATCAAAGGTAAAAGGTCTGGGGAGTTGTAGGTGAGGCGGAATGAGGGGAAAAATATTTTTGAGTAGATGCAGGGTCTGATTAGCTACGTGGTTAGATTTTATCCTGCAGCCGAAACTGTCAACATCCTTGACTGACTAATTGGATGTGCCCAGTGAACCGTTTTAGTCATTTGTAAAGATTTATCATCTTTACATTTCGATTCCGTAATGGATTTGTCAGTTATACGATCTAACAATACGTATGGTGGTTCATGATCTAGATAAGCCGGCTTTAGCCTATCAATACTTATTGTGTCGATGTTTCCATGTTTTTCTATCACGAAATATTTAGATTTTCTTGAGACGACTTTGAAAGGACCTTCAAATGGAGGACTGAGTGGTGATTTTATTTTATCACATCTTATCCAGACGTGCGTGCAATTGCTTAGGTCTTTAGGTACATATACGGCGCGCGATTGTTCGCGAGTGTTAATTGGTTTAAGTTTGGACATATGGTCCCGTAGTTGATCTACGTAATTTTCTAAATTAAGTTTTTGACTGTTAGTATTAGGGTTAATAAATTCACCTGGTAGTCTCAGAGTTGTTCCGAAAACCAGTTCCGCAGCTGAACACTGTGCGTCAGTTTTGACAGATGTTCGTATTCCCAACATAACTAATGGTAGGAATTCTGTCCACTGATTGGGGTTTGAGTGAGATATAAGGGCAGTTTTTAGCTGACGGTGAAAACGTTCTACCATCCCATTAGCCTGAGGATGATATGCAGTGCAGCGTATCCTATTGGAGCCTAGAAGTTTAGCCAAGTTATTAAATAGTTCGGATTCGAATTGCGCTCCTCTATCCGTCGTTATTGTTATGGGTGTACCAAAAATGGTTACCCAGTTCTGCATGAAAGCTTTGGCTACTGTTTCCGCTGTGATGTCCGCTATCGGGATGGCTATAGGGAATCTGGTAAATCGATCTATGCATGTAAAAAGATAATTAAAACCATTTGAACGGGGTAAAGGACCTACCAAGTCGATATGCACATGTGCAAAACGTGCATCTGGTTGCGAGAAAACACCTATGGGTGAATTTGTGTGACGATTAATCTTTGATTGTTGGCATGCTGAACACTCTCTAACCCATTTGTGTACATCCTTCTGTAAATTCGGCCATATATATCTGGCATTGATTAGTTTAGTTGAAGCTTTTGCTCCAGGATGAGACAAAGAATGAAAGTTATTATATATCAACTTTCGCATATTTTTGGGAACGAAAGGTCGCGGCATTGCCTTGGTCGTGTCACAGTAAATTAGAATACCATCGATAGGTGATGGGAACTGTTTTAAATTAAGACTTGAATTGTTTGTTTTGAGTAGGTTTTGTAATTCTAGGTCCTGCTCTTGTTCGTGTCTCAACGTCTCGAAGTTTACTGTAGACTGTTGTACCACGTTCATTTCTAGTCTGGATAAAGCATCTGCCGCCTGATTGTCCTGACCTTTGACATGTCGGATATCGCTTGTGAACTGTGATATATAGTCAAGGTGTCGGACTTCTCGAGGTGAGTACTTATCGGCTCTCGCTTTTAATGCATTCGTCAGTGGTTTGTGATCCGTAAAGACTATAAATTCCCTACCTTCTAACATGTGTCGGAAGTGTTTAATAGTCAGGTAGATTGCAAGAAGTTCTCGCCCGAAGGTAGAATACCTTGTCTCAGCTGGAGCGAGTCTTTTCGAGAAGAAAGCAATTGGTTTCCAGGCGTTTTTAACCAGTTGGTTAAGGGTACCGCCTACTGCTTTATCTGAAGCATCCACCATCAAAGCAAGTGGGGAAAGAGAATTCGGATATATCAACGTAGTTGCTTGAGCCAGTTTATCTTTAAGCTGTTTAATAGCTTCGACGGCGTCAGAAGACAGTTTGAATTCTTTTGGTTTTCCTATAAGTAAATCTGTTAAAGGTTGCATTAATTGTGCACAACCTGGTATGAATCTGCGATAAAAGTTAATTAGACCTAGGAAACTTCTCATTTGTGTTAGAGAGCTAGGTATCGGGTATTGTTTGATGGTATCCACTTTTTTTTTATAGGTTTAATCCCTTCTGGGCTTATTGTATGACCAAGAAATTCTAAAGTTTGAACACCGAAAACACACTTACTTTGATGTATGTTTATTGCATGTTCATTCAATCTTGTCAACACTGCTCGTACATGCTCTTCGTGTGATTGCAAATTGGGGCTGGCAATTAACAAGTCGTCTATATACCCCTGCGCAAATGGCATATCTCGAAGTAGGTTATCTATGAATCTTTGAAATGTCTGTGCCGCATTTCTCAGGCCGAATGGCATGCGTACAAACTCGAATAAGCCGAAGGGTGTTGTAATAGCTGTCTTAGGGATATCTTCATCAGCCACCGGGATATTGTGATATGCCCTGACTAAGTCAATTTTAGTGAATATGTTCATACCCTGTAAACCGTTTGTGAAATCTTGGATATGCGGTATTGGGTACCTATCTGGTACGGTTTGACGGTTGAGGGCTCTGTAATCCCCGCACGGTCGCCAGTCACCTTCATTCTTCTTTGGGACCATATGCAAAGGGGATGCCCATTGACTATCAGACGGACGGATAATACATAGTTGTAGCATATAATCAAACTCGGCTCTAGCGATTTTGAGCTTATCTGGTGCTAGTCTCCTGGGTTTTGCAAACACCGGTGCACCTTCGGTTTTGATAGTGTGACTTACTTTTAGTTTGTTTTTGGAAGGCTGTGGGTTTGGTTTAGTTAAGTTTGGAAATTCCGCGAGTATATCTTGGAATTTCGCTGTTGTTACTGGAGGGGTTTGAATCAAGTTAAGAGAGCTGATGTGACTTTCTTTGCCTTTTGTGTAAAACGAAGTTTCTTTTAGTGTTAATCGCCGTTTCTTGGTGTCAACTAGAAATTCGTATCTCTCTAGAAAGTCCATCCCCAGTATTGCCAGATCTAAGTCGGCTACCGTGAAAACCCAAGGGAATTGCCTTCTGAACCCCAAATCTAGGGTTAACGTTTTCTGCCCAAATGTCGCGATTGTAGTTTTATTTGCAGCTTGAAGTGTAATCGGGGATGTTTCTCGACCAATCTCAGTTTTATTTCGAGGGATGATGCTAAGAGCAGCGCCAGTGTCCACCAAGAAATTCAAGCCCGAGTTTCTGTCTCTGACATAAAACAAGCGACTGTTTAGGCGCCTCTCCTCAGTTGTCGCGACCTGGGGAGGGGTTACTCGTTTCCCGCTGTCTTGGAATTATGCTTAGGCCAGGCGCATGGTTGCCTGCACTTGGTTGAGTTGACACCAAACTTCCAGTGGTACTGTAGAATTATAATCTACTATGATATTAGTACTGCTCTAATAATAGACCTAACCCTAAACTTGTAGATTTGTCATGATATGACTGCCTAATCTATAAGATCTTACGTGGAAGTCACACCATCGACTACACCAAGTCACTGTATCGTATCAATTACCAATACATGATGTAGAACAAGGTTAGGCTAGAGAAAGAACAATATATTTGATATGAAAAGAAGATATAAGGTAACATTCAGCAGAGACCACGCCTGCATGGCCGAGCCATGCCGTTCGATCAACTCAAGTCTATTCAATTTTTATTCGCGCCTTCTCCATCGTTAGGTATTTCTTCGCGTTAAATATTGAATACCTATTTTCCGAGTAATCTCGTATTCAGCTTTGAGGATAGTGTGGCTATGGTCCAATGCCACTACACTACTCTCCCACCAGAATCAACGTGGTGTTGGTTCGATACCAAATTGGATGGGACTGTAGTGTCCCGAAGGTTACCAAGACTAGTAATAATCCCCTGGGTGATGACAAGCTGAAAGATAAATCAAAAAGAAGACGGCAGCATCTGGTCGGGAAATACATGTAATAATTTTAAAATATCTGCCTTCATGCTTACAATAAAAATTTGAGTGATTATTTGAGCTATAAAAAAATGGGATTATAATAATAATAATAATAATAATAAAAAAACGATGCGTGTTAATAGTCGTTGGTTAATAACTTAACGTATAGGTAGTAAGTATTTTGTGTTTAGAAATATTAAAGTTATAAATATTGTAGAAATGTTAATATTAGTACTACTTTTAGTCTAACTTATGAAATCAAATAACGATTATGCCGGTAAGTTGTCCATATGATCGATTTCCAATTGCATCTGTATTAGTAGGCTAACTGAAGGAACAAAAGTATTACCGTGGAGAAGAATTCCAACTAGTTTTCCAGTTAGTTTGATACGGTTTGTTTAGTTACGGGGAGATTTTCTCAACCTCATTTTTACTTGACCGTGATAGAATTTATTAATACTACTAATACACATGAATGGTTATCAAAACAAAATTTAAATACGTGAGTGGTAATTATGTGAATTTTGGACAGATAGCTAGGAACAAATCGTTAAACATGAGTGTATTCTTAAGAGACAAGCTCTAGACTCAATGTTCTGATCTGCGGCAGACTATTTATTTATATCTATACTTGCCGGCTGATTGGGTATACAAGTTAGTTAAAAGTATGCAGTTTATCATAAGGCGGAACACGATTTAATTGAGATATAGTGGTCATACGTTATTGAAATTAGTTAAACCTATGTGTCATATTACTAAGTGATGTGGTGCTGCAAGGTGTATTTGTCTAAATAATTTTTTACAAGATGATTAATAGTGAGTGATGCTCTTGTGATTATCAGGGAGAACATAAGTTGTAACCAAGGGGAG